AAGTGTCTTCTGAAAGCAGATATTCTCATGCAGTTGAGAGATTTCTGCTCATCTGAGTTGCCTGTAGGAAGTAAAAGATTGGCAAGAAATGGTTGCTGTGATTAGCAAACTGTTTTATTATCAACATTTGGGAATTCAGGAAGAAGGTAGCTGTGACTCACTTAAAAAGGAACTGAGTAAGCTCATGCTGCTAATAATTCAGCTTTGTTATAGAGACAGGAACATTTATTTACTCATTCCCATGACTGAATTTATTTGCTGGTATCAGAACTTATAAATCCTTAACTGCATATAGCTTGCAACTTTTGACCTGCACGATCTCATGGAAAAAGTTCCAGTTTGGTCATACGCTTTCTGAATTCCTCAGAATTCTGCCTGAATTTCTTCTCTTTACATAAAATGTCAGTTGTTCTCTGCCAGCCCACTTTGTCTTATTTAGATATTTATTTAAAGTATGAATACCTAAGAACCAGCTCTCTATTTGTCTATGTCCTTATACTATTCCTGGAGAAGTGGGCGTCCTGGTTTTAGGCATGGCTTCTGGGTGGATACTGCTGGTTTATAAGTAGCATATAATAGAACAGCCACCAAATAGACTGTATCTATTTTTCTGAATAAACGTTTATAATCTCTTCTTCATTAACCATGAGGAGGAGAATGGTACTTTTTTTTTTCCCCTGTGGCAAGCTGACAACTTTTTCTGTTTTTAAGAAGGAAAACCTGGGCAAGGTTGGATTTGTTAGAAACTTCAATATATGCTTTTCTTCACTGTCTTTTCATCTGTGTGCTTTCCTAGTCCCCATTAAGTGTCTAATCTGGGTTAAAAAGGGGAAATTTAACTTGTACCAGCTACTTTGCTCAGTAGAGCAGTCATTATTGTGCTTAATAGTTATGACAGAAAACTGGCAAGCAGTATTTTAAGTTTCTGTCCAAGTCACACTCCAAGTGATGCCAAATTTTATCTCACTTCAACCATCTAGAAACTGGAGTAACATCTCCATCACAGTGTTGAGTTTAATTAACTGATAATTATAAAGCAGTATGAGATTGCTTTCTATCATTACAACTATAGCAGAATTCAGCCACAGTAAGTTGATTTATTTTCTTGGACTTCTTTTTCATTTAACTTTTTCTGTTTAAGCTACACACAGGAGATAGTGCCTTTGGTGGGGAGGGGAAAGCTCTTGTCAATCCTCTTGTAGAAGGATGCCCTATCCTGTTAAAAATAGGGTGCCCTTACAGAGGTGGAGCACTTTTATGCTAATTCTTTATAAGCACTATTTAGCACAAGTATCATCATTCTGTTTCCTCAAGAAAAAGAAATTGCTAAGCCAGTTGAAAAAAGATGTCTAAGGGTACTAATTATACAGACAAAAGTACAAATGGGCCAGATATCTGAAAATAAGGAGTGAGGTAGTGACTTCTTTGGCAGCTTGTGTTTAGTATACCTTACATCTTTCCTTCCCAGTTCATCTTCAAGCTTGTCCTTTTTTCTTGTATTTAGAGGGCTTTTTTTCTTTGTTTTTGCTGCAAAATAAAATAGTCACCTTGCACATGCTGCCATGTCCTCCTGCTGTTAGGGTTGTTTTCTGGGCTCAGCAGCATGCATCAAGGCTAATCAGTGATGGCTTTCTCCAGGGAGCTCTCCACAGCAGAGCCTCAGAGAATGGCTCTGCATCCACCCAGCCAATTTCTCCAAATTCTGCTTCATATCACACTGAGCATCTCCAGGTAAAATAAAGGATCAGTCTGAAGATGCCATGTTAAAATTAAGTGTTTCTGTTTAAGGAATTTTAATGAAAAACTTACTAGTGTATATTTTGGGGAAGCTATAGAACATAGCGAGAGTTCTGCTCCTCAGTTAGGCCAAACTACAGGATAGAAATAAAAATCAAAAAGTGGATTTTGAAGTATGAGTTCATGTGCTAACCTGGCAATGCAGCCACAAGTGCCCTGCACAAAACAAAATCTCCACAGCAAAATTAAACAAAAATATGGCATGAGAGAGAGAGAGCAATTTGCATCAAAGGCTGTCACTTCATCCTCCACTCACTTAATCATTCTTAGTCCCTTTGGGATTGTAAGTATTTCACTAAAATAAGTTATTTTATCTTGATGTTATTCCTCAGAAGTACTTGAAGGCCACTTTCAGCATGCTAAATTTTAATATTGAGTGGAGATTTTCTGCATGGGTTGAAAACAGACATTTTTTTTCCAGCTGACCACTGGGTGTGGAGACCCTCAAAGGGTAAACTCAGAGCAGATGAGCATGCAGACAATTTCTCTGGACTGAAAGCTGTCATTTCCCCAATTGCAGGGCCCTGTCAGCTTTATGTAGGGCTTGTAAAAAAACACAAATCAAATGTTCTGCAAGAAACATGCTTGTTTCTGTTCTGTTCTTTTAAAAAAGGGTGTATATATATTGTTTGGTGGAATTATTAGAGTAATATATTTAGTGAATAGAATTACATTTTATTTTAAAATTTTAGCCCATAAGCATTTTCTGTCTCTCATTTTAAAAACATAAATTTAAGAAAAAAACTTAATCAGTATCAACTGTTGGTTGAAGTTAATGTGAATCCTTTCCAGCCATATTCTAATTTCAGTAATTAATTTACATCAGTGTACCTGTTCTGCATAAGAATTGTCTTGATGAATAAACTAGTGTGTTCCAGGTAAGTAGCTTGCATTCCTGTGCTCTGCCTTCACTCTACAGGTATTTTGGATATAAAGTACCAGTTACATGTGGTATTTCCCTCTTCCAGCTTGTTCTCCCACACCTTATATTCTCTCATTAAATAACCAGAGCAGGTCAAACCGTTTGAAATTGTTTTCCATGGCAGTGGCTGGGTTTTTGCCTCGAGAATTTTCCCTCTACAGCTCGAGTCAAATGGCACAGCAGCTAAGTAGCAGCTTTGCACTGAGGCACTACTTAGCAGCTATGTCATTTGGAAGCACACGCTCATCATGAGCACTAAAGCACTTTCTCTGTTGTGTGAGAGGAAAATGTCAGCCTGGAGCTAGTCACATCACCCTGGTGGATAGGGGACAGAGCAGAACTGCTGTGTGGTTCTGTGAATCACCTTCAGCCCTGCGTTATAATGGGGGTCTTGTCAAAACACCCCAGTCTTTCATTTCCCTGGCCTTAAGTAAGGCAGAATATTGTCTGTCCTGTGCTCTACATTTGCTGTCCATCTCCTTGTGTCTCATGGAAGCAGTACTGCACAGCTGTCCATCCACCACAGCCCTGCCTTTCTTTCTAAAGGAAGAACAAAGGGCATTTTGACTAGATCTACTTCAGCTGCTTTGCAAGTCATTTGACTGTTGCCCGAAGACTGTCCTTTTATTCTATAAATAATGAGATTGAACACCCCATTATAGAATATCTGTGTGGCTTGGATGCCTTTCAGCCTCCATGCTGGGAAATAACTGGTTGAAATTCTGTGAAGATAATCTTTGTTCACAATATGAGAATTCCATTTAACTCTGGGGAGAAAGGAGGAGAGTGTCTTGAGCAAATGGTCATTCTCAGTTGCCAAAGATTCTTGTAGGAAATGTTTTCCATCAGAACATATTAGGTGATTTAAGGATTGATCTTTCCCAAATTTCTTTTCAGAGTTCCTCAGTTAGGTAGCTAAATCAAAAAAGCCCTTCTGATGCTGACACTGTGGAAGCAGTAGCTGAGGGCACTGTCAATCCAGGGTAATATCTCTAGTGACTCACTCTTAATTGCTGGCCTGCCTTCATAGCCTAGAAACAATGTCCCCCTCAAGGCTTCTTGCAATTTTCCTTGCAAGGACAATGCTCATCTGAAACTATGAATTTCATAAAGGAATTCCTGAGTGGAAGGTGTTTTCTGTCCAAAGCAAGCACAGAGGATTACTGCTCCCTGTAGGCTTTGAGATACCCAGTTATGAGCTCCTGATGGAATCCCAATCTCCAGCTCTATCATTGCAGTTCATCACAGCACGACTGATTAGGGTGTGATGGGGTTTCACAGCACAAGGTAAATTCACCACTTCTGAGGTTCAGCAAGGCTGAATGCTGTTCAAACAGATTAAACCATTAGATGTATAGATGTTACATGGGCATTGTGCTGATCCTCTGCAAGAGGGAGGAGGTACCGTCTTCATCCACCCATTGGGATACTCCACTCCTCAGCAGTGACTTCTGGACTGCTTAACAAACCCCACAACTGCTTCAGCAGCTCCAGCCAGACTGGAACCCAAAGCTGCTGAGCCCCTACTCAGTGCCTCCTATGGACTGCCTGCTGTGTTCCATGAAGGGCTGTGGCCCCCGTGCTGATTGCTGACTGTTCTTCTCTCTCTCTTTGGGGACCAGTAGCAACACGAGATACATCAACTCACTTTATGCTTTCTTCTGACATTGTAAAAATAGAAGCTGCATTAACATTTTTATGAAGCTTTAGTTAATCTTGTCTCTGCTGCACTTTTACTTTGGTTGCTGTCATGACATGATGCTTACAGCAGTTCCACCTGACAGCTAAAGAGCCATGAATCCGAGGGAAGTTTAGTGTTAGATACCTTCCACTGGGAGATTGTATCAAATAACCTATCTTCTGAAATCTGGTGTGATCTGGCTGTTGCCTTTGCAGCACTTGGCTGATAGTCCTGTAGTTGTATAAGCTGAGACTGATGAGGAAATAAAAGCACAAAGAATTGCTACCCACTTAAAAATTTATAGCGATGAATTTGGACATTTAATCATTCTGTTGCAGGAAAAGAGCTGCCTGGAAGCTGCATGTCTTTTGTGAATTGCTCTTCTCTCTGGCCATTTCTCTCTACTGTTCTTGCAAATATCATTAAGTGCAGCCTTACTTTACAACAAGTAGTTTCTTCCATGCCAAATCTAGCAAGTGGTTTTCACATCTTACTTGGTTTATTTTCCAACATGTTTCAGTAACTCTGGTCTGACACATAATTGCTATCTTAATGGTGATTTCTAATCCTGTACAAATGAGCTGTGTTTTATATTGACAGTGAGAGAAGCAAAAAACCTAATCCCCATGGATCCAAATGGACTTTCAGATCCATATGTTAAACTGAAGCTCATCCCAGATCCTAAGAATGAAAGCAAACAAAAAACAAAAACCATCCGTTCTACTCTGAATCCAGACTGGAATGAGTCGTTCACATTGTGAGTTTAATGCCTTTTAATGTAGTATAGTTGCATGTATTGCGTCGTTTACTTCAGTGTTGCATTGAAAACTCCTCTATTTCTCTCCTTTTCAGTAAATTAAAACCTGCAGACAAAGATCGACGGTTATCCGTAGAGGTCTGGGACTGGGATCGAACAACCAGAAATGATTTCATGGGATCTCTGTCATTTGGGGTGTCAGAGCTTATGAAAATGCCAGCCAGTGGATGGTAAGAGTTTCTGAGAAGAGAGGAGAGAATATATCACTGAAAGTTTAAAACCAATATTGTTCTTCAATATAATCTACCATTTTTGGATCTTTTTACTGTATCTTGAGGTATAAATTCACTGAAAATGCAAGTAAACCTAGGAAACATAGGCTACACGTAACAAAGGGGATAATAAAATCAATACTTTCCTTTTTGTTCATGAAAATTCTGCTGTAGCTGGGAGCTGCTGCAAACTCAATTCTGTGTACATAGTCCTGTGATATGAATTTTATTTTTATCTCAAATATGATGTATTCATTACTAAGTATATCATGTTATATATAGCTCTGCATAGTCAAAGTACATAGGAACTGATTTTATAAAATGCCATCTGATTACCTACTGAGCTAGGGGTTGAACTCTTCACATCTTCTCAAAAAAAAAGTGCAATTCATGAAGGATAATTGGTTAGGGCAATAGAGGCACTGGAGGGAGAGTTCTTCAGGGTTCATGTCTGCCATCATTTCACAGGACGGGTGGGGAGAACTTCCTTGTCCATTAAATTGCCTTGACAGATACTTTAGGTTTCAAGATCTAATCCAGGTGAAATATGCTTCTGAGTTTGCTTTAGATCTTTGAAAGCAGTTCTTACATACCTGCAACACTGATATAATCTACACATGAACAAGCAAATCCATTTAAATCTAACAGAAATAAAACTTTTACATTTTTTTTCTTTTTTCCCCCTCAAATGTTCCACAGGTACAAGCTCCTGAATCAAGAAGAAGGTGAATATTACAACGTACCAATTCCAGATGCTGATGAAGATGGAAATGCAGAGCTCCGGCAGAAGTTTGAGGTGAGGATTAAACACAAATGGGTGCAACTATATATTGCATATATTTGTGATTTTATTGTAAAAAAAAAACAAAACCAAACCTGTTAAGACATACATATTAGAGAGCTACTATTTCTGTTGCCTGTGACAGCAATACAAGTCTTTGGGTTTTTTGGAAACTGGACCAAGTGGTTTAATTCAGTAATGGTATCATTCTTCTGACACTTCAGCTTCTCTGCTATGACATTTATAAGTTTGTCTATTAAAATATTTTATGTCAACTGTATGTAGTACATTCAATGTCTTTTAATACTTTCTGCAAAATCTGCCAGCTATTATCACTAGTAACTACATCATTTGGCAAATGAAATTCTCAGGAACAACAGTATTTTAATATTTAGAATGTTTCACACAAAATACCTTTTTTTTTAAACTTCCAGTGTTAATCACTGGTTGATTCTGAGTGAGCAGACTTAGCCAGCAGCTCTCCCTCTTCTGACACTAGAGCCAACAGCAAAAGATACTCGCTGGCTGTTAACCCAGCGACAGGAAAGGTGTGTTTTGGGTATGGGGGGGTTCTGGACTCAGCTCCTCTGACTTGACTTCTCTTTCCAGCTCCATACACAATATTGAATTCAAAATATTCCAATCTACAGTGTTGTTTTCTTTTTTTTTTTTTTTTTTCTGGTTCAGCACTTAAAACTTTAGTCTAGTTGTTTATCCAGAGAGAGATTAATGTACCTGTTGTGCATAAACAAGCACTGCTTTTCCTTTCAACCTGAAATAGCAATTTTTTATGTTCACCATCAGGTAGAATTCTACATTGTTATTATAAAAGATGGGTTAACCCAAGAAAGTGAGGAAATACGGCACATGCTCAACTTTCAAGAAAGAAAAAGAAAAGGTGCATCAATTTCTTCTGAACACATTTGGATCAGCTACCATACTTTTGTCTGCAGCATGAGCTATGGTTTTCGTTGTACATTTGAGAAGTATTTGAATCTCCATTCCATTTTTCTTTCTTTACAATTGTGATCTGACCAGTGTGATTTTATTTTGCTGCACTAGGTCATTTTCTATTCAAGATCATATTTATTTTCTATCCTCCCAAGAAAGAATAGCTTCAAAAGTAATACTTCTCACCCCTTACATGTCTCTGTGCATTAAACAGAGTCTGGAACTGGGTGCATACGTATATGTTGGTGATATAGGTATAAAAATCTCCCTGTTTCTTCTCAGGACGGAGATAGCATGAAGACAAGTCATTAAAATTATCCATTTAAAAATGTCAGTAGTTACATGCAGTGTGTTTGCATATTGAATTTACAAACTCAGGGTTTTGTTTTTTTTAAGCCTACTGTCAGTACGTTGGTTGCAGAATGAACAGTCAGGGTTTATCTGTGTCCTGCCATGAAGTGGAGTAGAAATCCTGAGAGGCTGCATCATGTAAAGCTACTGGACTGGGTCCCAGAAACGACAGCTTCACACAGGGTCAGCTCTGCCTCAGAAATAATTAGTCTGTCTCAAAGTCTAATTAGTTCAGCTTCAGCACTGTGTCTTTGAGGCTTTCCCTGTTCTGGAGGTAGCCTGGTTGATGCTATTTTAGTGGTCTGAATTAATCAAGGAAAGGCAAAAGGTTTTCAGGGAACACAGTGTCTTCAGGAATATCATTTACAGAGCTGCATAACAAGCAGTTTTAAAAGTTAGTAATGATATATGGGAGTATTGGTACCCAAAAAAACTGTGTGATGACAGCTAGACCAAGGCTAGCATAATGCAGCTGAAGGATTTGGGTTCAACCTCTTACTCTTTCTCAGAGTTTACCCCCTGGGAAGGAACAGAGGGAAGCAGCACCCCTTCAGTAATATTTTTACTTGGTTTTGAGGGGAATTACTGTGATGGCTTATAAAAATTACCAGCACAGATGTCTGAATGGTGGTATTTAGCTTATTAGCTATTCTGGCATGGCACATTAGTGGTCTGAGCAGCTTTTACGTTATTTTTCTTACGATTTATATCTTGGCTTACATAGTCATTTTATTTTAGGTACCCTAGGCTAAGGAAAAAGTAGATAGCACTGAGAAATAAGCTTCTATTTGTGATTTAATGACATCATCTACATAAATATTTCCACTGTTCTGAAATCAGCTTTGAAATCTTATAGGGAGAATATTATAGATCTCAACTGCTGTTTTACTAGGGGAGTGTATTTGTCAGGAAGATTAAGACTGTAGATAGAGCAAGAGCTCATATGGGGCTATCTTATCATTTATCAGTTGATAGAAAAGAATAACTTCAGAGGGCTTCCTAATCAAGTCTACGTTTGTGCTGCTTGGGTCTGCTTTTCAATATATGACAGTGTGATTGATAACCAAGCTACACTGATTTAATTTTGAGTACAAAATTACAACAATTTCTACAAAAGTATTGCATTACAAATATAAAATACTTAAAATGAATAATGATGAGCTGCAGAGTAAGGAGCTGTATACAAACCTCAGCTATGCAAGAACAGAGAAACTTTGGAATGAGAATTTCATTGCTTAATATTAAGAAAAAGAATATTAGGTTATAAAAGATCAGAGAACTGATGTGAAATTTCTGAAACTGGTTTCTAGTCTTCAAAAAAGAAAGTCTAAGACAGTCTTAAAACTGACTTTTCCATTTTGACTAAAATTTAGGACTGTGCTTAGTAGAATCTCCACATGCACTTAGGAGCTGCTTCCCATTTAAATCAATGAGAAATTTTTTAATATCTGCCAGCACATGTAGTTCAACAGACATCTTAAACATTCAGCCTCAAGCTTTCATTGATTTCAAACTGTTTACACAATCCTATTGCATCCTTGTACCTTCACTTTAACCACTGAGACTTCTTATTTAAATGTGGTTCTTAATCACACAGTCTCATTGGTATGCTGCCTTACTTACTGGACCTTCTGGCCCAGTCATTTATTCAACATAAATCTACTACAAAATAGTTATATGAGATTATAAATAAGGAAATAATTAATAGATTCAAACATTCTCTTCACTAACATTTGTAATTGAACAGTAAAAAGCTGTTTTTCACGAGAAAAAGTTTCCTTATGGGCCATTCTGCCAGACCTAAGCCAGCTGAAAAACTGACACCTGACTTGTGCTCCGTAGTTATAGATCTAGGCAATAAATGAGACCAAATTTGGGGAAGAAAAAAAGAGTTGAGGAGGGTGGTGGTTTCATTAATGAAAGATTTCAGATTTTATTACAAGGAGGTTTCTTTTTTTATGCTGTGTGTTATCTATATGAAGTTGTTCAGTGTATAGAAATTGAGGTGTATTGGGCATATTTTCTCTAGAGCAGATTTTAATCTACATGTTTCCTGGTTCTCAAATTGAACAGCAAAAAGATATTTTTCATGAGTAAAGTTTCCTTATGGCCCATTAATGAAAGATTTCAGATTTTATTACAAGGAGGTTTCTTTTTTTATGCTGTGTGTTATCTATATGAAGTTGTTCAGTGTATAGAAATTGAGGTGTATTGGGCATATTTTCTCTAGAGCAGATTTTAATCTACATGTTTCCTGGTTCTCAACTATCACTAAAACTTACGACTCAATTATCTGCCCGTTTAGCAGTATGATCAAATCCGTCTTCAGTGATTTATAGATGATACATCATTATTAATATTTAGAGATAAAAATATACTCCTGTAGGAAGTGGAGGCAGGATAAAATCTGTCACTGTTTTTCATTCGCTTTTAACCTTTGATTGTGAATTTTCTCTCCAGAATGGCATTTTTTTTGTGGCCATCTCAAAAGGAAACTCCCTTCTCAACAGGCACATTCAGAATAATTGGAGCTGTTCCATAATTGTCCATGCTGAGGTTGCCATGGGAACTCCCAACAGTCCCGGGTGGCTCCATGGACCCAAACTAGCAAGTCTTTTAACTGCAAGAGCTACTAATTCCTATATACCTATTTTCCTCTTACAGTATTTTACTAGTCAAAGCCAAAAGCAGAATACTGAAACGATGGAAGCTTTTTTCCTGCCTGGCTATGATTTGAGCAGTAATATGCTTTTGCCATTTTGAGCATTGTCTTGATTTTGGGTTATTTTTTTTTATTTGGGGAAAAGAAACGTGCGAATTCTAAAACTTCTATTGTAGGAAGTTACTTCAGTTTTGTCAAGCCCTGTTTCCTGTAATTTGCTGCTTAGCAAAGCACTTCTTGATGCTTAAATATCACCTTTAGAACAGTAATAGAATAATAGTGCTTTAAAAGTAGACTGGTCAATTATTCTCTCTGTCCCCTTCTTTCCACAGTACCATCATGGAAAATGTTATTAGAAAATAAAGCCACAGTTATGGTCCATAACAATGATTTTTTTAATTAAAAAAAAGGAATAGAGTAGCTATAATCTTTAGATGTGGATACATTTACCAAGTACAAGGGATATTAAGTGGTGGGAGCAACCCAAGTCACTGCAGTCAGCTCTGGTAATTGAAGTGATCCAAGCAAGTTATTATGAGGGAATAGGTTACTGCTCATATTATCTTCATTTGAAGGCATCTGTGGGGAAGCTCTGTAACGGCCCTCCTGGTCCATGCTCTTAAGCTGTCAGACATTTTCTGTTGTTCTAATTATTTCCTTTAGTGTAGCTCTCTGTGTGGATTTCAGTAGAACAAAATCCTTCCCCTAGTTTCTGAGAGAGAGCTCAGACTATTGTCCCCATCATAGGGATCCATGTGGGACCATTCAGGTGGACTTCAGGAGGTGCTTCCTTGGGGACATAAAGCCACATCTAGCACTGTGGCCACTAGCTTAAAATTGTGTTGATGTTGGAGATTTCAGCTGAAACATGAGATGTAAGTGGCTTCTCATGACTGCTAGTTTTGTACTATTCCATTTAATTAAGTGAATAACAATAAAACCACTCCACAATAAGGTGATGTACCATTTTCATTTGTCAGTTGATGTTGTGGGCCAGGTCTATAAACCCTTGTGTGGTAGGAAGGCCGTGCAGGCTACCCAGTGGTACCCT